ATCATTTCGTTCGTACTTGTCGTGGGCGTAGCCCCGGCCTCCTATTTTATTCCCATTTTCTCCAATTTATTCCACGATTATACGATCCTCCAAACGTCGTCGGCGCATAGGCGCCAGTTTACAAGCCATAACCGCGCGCTAAAACACCTCGAGAACGCATCACCGATGGACACGCATCAGCGCATCAGATGCACCTGCATCGCCGCCGCCTCGTCGCCGCATCATGCTTCCTCGGTAACAACCGCACTCCAATCTCCATCGGAGATCCGATCCCCGTCGGCCCGACAACGTCATAAGCCATGACACACTGGCCCCATCTATCTTCGAATCCGATCGGCAACGGACTTCCTATTCCCGTCGGCCCGACAACGTCATATGGTATGACACACCGGCCCTCGTTTCCCCGCCTAAGTCCCCTAAACACTAGCAGTCGCCGTAACACCAGTCGCTTATGTAAAGCCTGGTCCGTGCGCAACCTGACTAGTATATAAGGCTCCCCTTTGTCGCTACCTAGCCCCATTTCAACCTCTTGGTTAATTGGGCTAGGTAAGCCTTCACTTGTATTGTAGTACAGATTGCTAATACACTTGGTTAATTGGGCTAGCTGAATAAGCTAACACATCAGTCGCCAGACCTCGTCGGCGCCGCCTTCTGATTAGATCCACGCAGTATCCCTCGTGGTGTGTCGACGCAAGTCCACATCATTAGGTTGAGATCTTCATGCACCCAGACTATTCCCCCTATCCAGTGCCCTGTGCACAGTTTTAAAAAAGTTTATTCCTACCGTTTGAAGAGTAAGTCTCTTCGGCGATTGGTGGCAGACGTACGCGCATAGCGCTAATCCCTGCATAAAACCAGTGCCGAAGGATTTGCCCGACCGCCCCCGCGCTTTCAAACGCCTCGCGGACGAGCGTCACCCACGCCTCCGACGCATGCTGCCCGAAGCCGTATTCGACCAACTTAGTCGAGAACGTGAAGCAGGCGCCCCACACCAGTACACTACCACCGAGCTCCGTGCCGTTGTTAGGCACGTCTCTACACTCCCGCCTCCGTCCGTCGCTCTCCCTACCATCGACTGGGACGCAGTCGAGCAGGCCAAGCTCGCAGCTCACGACGACCGCCAGCACTTCCAGGCACAATGAGACCAAGCCCGCACTAGGCAAAACGTGCACGCCAGCACCTCTTCCAGCCGTTCTCTAGCAGATCGCCTCATCGCCGCCCCGACCTACACCTCCATCGCCCTGAAGCCCGTCACCATCGACTTCTCTCGCTACACGGCCGCCGACCTCGCCTGCATTTTCGCGCCGAAATTTGCCGCCACCCTTAAACGCTTCAACGTGCTCGAGTCGCTCAACTGCCCCGACGTTCTAACCGACGACATCAACGCCGTCTTCAAGCTTCGCGACCTCCTCGCTCACCTCGATTGCACCCTCAAAGACGTCTCACGTGTCATCAGTATCGAGGAGTGGAATCGCTGGGACTCAGGATTGAAGCAGATCGGCGGGATCTCGTTCAAAGGACTACGGCGTAACCGAGTCCAGATTTTTAAAGCACTTCATGCGGTTTGGGTCAACGGTTACTTCGATTAGAAAGCTGGACGAATATATAGTTTTCGAATACATAGACTACGACGAGGAACGAATCCTCGATCCATACGTACTAGATTACGCACTCGACCATCTCGTCAAGTTAGAACTAGTACAATTATTCCTAGAACTCCCTTTCCACTTTCTATAAATCCGTTCTCTGTCCTATCGGACGAATCAGAAACAGTGGCAGACACTCGCTTAGTTTGCGCGGCCTTCGCTCACGTCTTCAACTTCGAAGAAGCTCGAGACTACTATTTGGACGAAAGAAGACAGTTAAACACTTGCACAAACTATCTCTGTCCAAATTGCTACTACGAGCACCAGACGCGACCAGTCACCTCCGAAAACCCACCTTACCTGTTCATCAATAGCGAACAGGAAGGACGAATTCGTGAGCGATACCACCTAGAATAACCGGCCAAAACAATGGATGTTCCACCCCCAGCACCACAACCCACCATGCAGGACGTACTAAACCTCATGGTCACACTGGTCCAAAACGTCAACAACCTCACGACGACTGTGAACCAGTTCGTAGCACACGCGCGCCAGCCGGTCGCCACGGTTTCTTCCACCCGGTCCTGGTCCTTCGTCGAGAAACCAGCCACCTTCGACGGTAAATCATCCGAAAAAGCTAGATTGTTCCGCAGCGCCTTCCGCGTATACGTCCGAGGAAACAAAGAGATATTCGCCTCGCGAAATGCTCAAGACGCCATCATCCTCGACCATGCCAGCAACTGGGTAATGGACCTGCTCAAAATGATCACTGGTATCCTATCCTTCATGACGGACGAAGCAGCGGTCTGGGCACGCCCTCACATCGACGAACTTTCCAATGGACGCACTCCATTCAACGCTGACTGGGACAAGTTCGTCAAGCAGTTCTCGGCTAAATTCGAACCTGTTGACGCGAAGAACGAGGCCAAGCAGAAGCTCATGTCGATCAAACAAGGCGATCGGACATTCGCGGATTACCTCTCTGACTTCGAGACTTACTCTTGTCGTACCGGCTGGTCAAATAACGACCTCTACGATCGTCTCAAGTCCGGGATGAATTCAGATTACCTCAATAGGCTGTCCTACTTTGCCCCCCTGGCCACAGACTACAACATGGTGAAAAACTACAGAGCAACGATCGACTTACAAAAGGCAGACCTGGCGGCCAATCAAGGCAAACCAGCCTCGCAGCCCCGGTCATCGACAACGACGCGCTCCTCCGGTTTCCGCGACCCGAACGCAATGGACATCGATGCCATGGACATCTCCGCTGCACGCTTCGACGACCTGTTTCAGGGTCTCAAGGACCCTGCGGAGATCAAGAGGCAATACAATAAGCTCATAGTCGGTCGTTGCCGCGTCTGCGGTTCCAAAGGTCACAAGGCAGACGGCGCGCACGAGGACACCAAGTGCCAACATTGTGGTAAACCCGGTCACTGGAAAAAGCTCTGCCTGTCAAGACTAAACGGACAGCCGCCAAAACCGCAATCGGTCTGAGCTTCATCGTCGACAAGCCCTTCTACACCTGCTTCCATCTCTACGTCTCAAGACTCGGCTGCCGACGTAGCTAGTCTCAAAGACATGGTGGTCTTGATGCAGAAACAACAGGCTGAATTGATGGCAAAGCTTAGCCAGGGTTTTTAGCAAGGGCCCAGACTAGAGCTGCAGCTCTGGTGCCCGGTTTAGATGAGCGGCCTTCAACAGCGCCGGCTCTTGTACATTCGGACTCTGATCCTTCGGACCATATCTCGTCGTGTACTGTATCGTTAATAGATCACCTCTCGTCCCACTTTCGCGTATTTGTAACAATATCAGGAATAAATAAATCTCTACGCACTCCTGCTATGATCGATTCCGGTGCCACCGGGTACTTCCTACATGAGAAATTTGCACGAGAAAATAACATCTATAAACAACCGCTCAAACGACAGATAGGTCTCCGAAACATTGACGGATCAACCAATAGCGCTGGTGCAATAACACACTATGCTAAACTCAAGGTCAAAATCGGTTCCAGAGCTCCAGAAGAATATGACTTCTTCGTCACAGACATCGGTCCCGAGAACATTATCCTCGGACTACCATGGCTAAAGAAAGTCAACCCCACCATAGACTGGGAAACAGGCGAAATGACGCTTCCTGACAGCTCAGAAGCATCGCCTGATTTACCTGCGTCGCCAAGTTTAACTAAAGTCGAAGCTAATCGAGCAGAACGCCGGGCCTAGGTGAAGGCCGGTATACTTGACAATGCTACAGACGAAGTTTATTGCCTAGCAGGCTATACCTATTCCCAGAAGGTAGCCGTTGAGCAAAACAAGGAAAAGTACTCGAAAACCTTCGAGCAACTCGTTCCAAAGGAATATCATCGCCACGCCCATGTCTTCTCTGAAACAGACTCAACAAGGCTCCCTGAACATAAAGCCTGGGATTACGCCATCGACCTCAAACCGGACGCTCCTTCAACGATCCGATCCAAAGTCTACCCGATGAGCCCAGCAGAAAATCAGGAGTTACAAGCCTTCCTCAACGATGCAATCAAAAAAGGCTACATCATCCCCAGCAAGTTGCCTATCGCTTCGCCTGTCTTCTTTATCAAGAAGAAGGATGGCAAGCTAAGGCTTATCCAAGACTATCGAAAACTCAACGACGCCACTATCCAGAATAGATACCCGCTGCCCCTAGCTAACGACATTATCAACAAGCTACAAGGCGCAAGAATCTTCTCTAAGTTTGACGTCCGTTGGGGATACACCAATGTTATGATTAAAGCTGGAGACGAATGGAAAGCAGCCTTTGCCACCAATAGAGGACTTTTCGAACCACGAGTCATGTACTTTGGGCTGACCAACGCGCCGGCAACCTTCCAAGCCCTCATGGACACGATCTTCGCAGACCTCATCGCCGAAGGGAAAGTCGCAGTATATTTGGACGATATCCTCATCTGGTCTTCAGATCTCGCATCACACCGAAAAATAGTACATGAAGTACTAGAGCGTCTCAAGGAATACGACCTCTATCTACGTCCTGAAAAATGCGAATTCGAGAAAGACCAAATCGAGTACCTCGGATTACTCATCAGCGAAGGATCTGTCAGCATGGACCCAGGAAAAGTAAAAGCGGTCACAGAATGGCCTACGCCCGCAAACCTGAAAGATGTTAGAGGTTTCATCGGGTTCGCCAACTTCTATTGCCGGTTTATCCAGGACTTCTCTAAGATAGCCCGCCCGTTGCACGACCTCACAAAAAAAGACATTCCTTTCATGTGGGGCTCTGCACAGCAACAGGCTTTCGATACACTGAAGTCTAAGTTTACTACCGAACCAGTGCTCGCTCTCTGGCACGCCGATCGAGATACACGCGTACAAGTTGATGCCTCCGGCTACGCTACTGGAGGAGAAATCAGTCAGTTAGATCCAAACGACACTCTATGGCACCCAATCGCCTTCCAATCACAGACCATGAACGCTGCAGAACGCAACTATGAAATCTACGATCGCGAACTGCTGGCCATAATCGAAGCTCTAAGAGATTGGCGTCATTTTCTAGAAGGATTACCCAAGCCGTTCAAAATCTGGACCGACCACGCTAACCTCCAATACTGGCGTACAGCACAACGACTTACACGACGACAAGCTTGATGGGCTCTTGAACTAGCCGACTACGACTTCGTGTTAACTCATAAGCCAGGCAAAACACATCTCGTGGCAGACCCACTCTCCCGTCCCAGCTCTCAGTACATATCTGATGACATGGATAACCAAATGCAAGTGGTCCTGCCTGACAACAGATTTGTTAGTGCTACACAAAGTTCAGGACTAGGTCCAGCACATTTCGCGCGACTAGCCGCTACAGCCTTCATCACAAGCTCACCGCTAGAGAAAGAAGTTCGCAATGTAGCCTCACTAGACGACGAGGTCTCCACCGCACTCTCTAGCCTCCGAGTAAAAGGGCCTCGCAAACTAGTCAACGGATTAACTGAATGGGAAGAAAACGACAGACTCGTCTATTACAAGGGCAAGCTCTACATACCAAACGACGCCACCCTCCGTAATAAAATCATCGAGTCCTGTCACGATACCCCTACGGCCGGACACCCAGGAAAACACGGGACAATAGAATTAGTCTCCCGCTATTACTGGTGGCCAGGAATGAACTCCGCCATAACTCGATACGTGGCAGGCTGTGATAAATGTCAGAGGTACAAAGGAGCTAAACACCCTAAATCGACTCTCAAACCACAAGAAGTCCCTGACGGGCCTTGGCAACACGTTGGAGTCGATATGATTGGCCCCCTTCCTCAAACAAAATCCCCAGGGAAATACGACGCAGTCACCGTCTACGTCGACCACTACAGCGACCAAGTACATCTCGCGCCCTGCCGCACTACTCTCACAGCGGAAGGAGCATCCGAAATACACTTTCACGAAGTATTTAGACACCACGGTCTCCCGCGCAAGATCTTCTCTGATCGTGGACCACAATACGCAGCCCGCTTCATGCGAGGTTTATATAAGCGACTCGGTATAGAGTCGGGTTTAACTACAGCCTACCATCCAGAAGGAAACGGCAAAGTCGAACGAAAGAACGCCGAGGTATCTAAATTCCTCCGGTTATTCTGTTCACAACATCAAGACGACTGGGATGAATGGCTCCCAATGGCAGAGTTTGTACTCAACTCGCGAGTACACGCTGGAAACGAACATTCCCCCTTCGAAGTACTCTACGGATACAGGCCCGACTTCACTGTCCCAGCAGGGAAACATTCCAATATCCCCGCACTAAACGACAGACTAGACAATATGGCCAAAATCCGTAAAGAAGCAGAAGCAGCTCTCCGTCAGACTAAAGAAAAAATGAAGGCCGACTACGAAACTCGTAAAAGATCGCCTCACTCTTTCAAAGTCGGAGACAAAGTCTGGTTATCTTCAAAGGATGTCTCAATCCACCAGCAAACCTGTAAACTGGGACCCCGACAGCTAGGGCCATTTACAATCACCGAAGTT